CCTGCTGAATAGGCTTTTACAACTATTACAGGCTGGCATGGAAATCTAATCTCCATTTATAATAGTTACTTAAGGAAACAATTATTTTAAGTTCTAAGTAATTGGTTTATGAATATAATGGATTGCCTATACTGTATTATGAAATTCAAACCTGAAATGATGTCCAGGTCTTTTTTAAATATAATTTTTTAAACTATGTTATGTGTTGGCATGGCTTAAAATTCGAAAGATTATTTTTTAAAATGCCTTTTGAAAAAAGATTTTTTTCCTATCCTTGGCCCACAGTCAACTAATTCCCCTTCCTAGAGACAACTAGTCATACTTGTTTAAATCTTTTGATTTTATAATGAGTGTATATATTTTTGCCTAACTTACTGGACCAATTTAGTATTGCTAGTTTTTTTGTGTTCTTTACATTTTACGTTATGACTTTTGGTACCCACTAGTCCAAGTATGACTTAGAGCTTATTAAATTGAACTTCGTGCTCCAGATAATTTAGACCATTTAGATATTGGGTTGGCCAAAAGGTTCGTTCGTTTTTTTCCCATAAGATGGCTCTAGTAGCACTTAGTTGTCTTTAACGTCATTTGAAACAGTTTTGCTAGATTGTATGACACCTGTCATATCAGAGTGCATTTTAAAAAGGACTTAACAAAATTGGTGAATTTTTGTATAGCCATTTTAATATTGAAGATGGAAGAACAAAAGCAACATTTTCGGCATATTATGCTTTATTATTTCAAGAAAGGTAAAAACGCAACCGAAATGCAAAAAAAGGATTTGTGCAGTGTATGGAGAAGGTGCTGTGACTGATCGAATGTGTCAAAAGTGGTTTGCGAAGTTTCATGCTGGAGATTTCTTGCTCGATGATGCTCCACGGTCAGGTAGACCAGTTGAAGTTGATAGTGATCAAATGGAGACATTAATTGAGAACAATCAACGTTATACGCTGGAGATAGCTGACATACTCAAAATATCCAAATCAAGTGTTGAAAACCATTTGCACCAACTTGGTTATGTGAATCGCTTTGATGTTTGAGCGCCACATAAGTTAAGCGAAAAAACCTTCTTGGCCGTATTTCCGCATGCAATTCTCTACTTAAACGTAATGAAAACGTTCCATTTTTAAAACAAATTGTGACAGGCGATGAAAAGTGGATACTGTACAACAATGTGGAACGGAAGAGATTGTGGGGCAAGTGAAATTAACCACCACCAACCACACCAAAGGCCGGTCTTCATCCAAAGAAGGTGAGGTTGTGTATATGGTGGGATTGGAAGGGAGTCCTCTATTACGAGCTCCTTCCGGAAAACCAAATGATTAATTCCAACAAGTACTGCTCCCAGTTAGACCAACTGAAAGCAGCACCTGACAAAAAAGCGTCCGGAATTAGTCAACAGAAAATGCATAATCTTCCATTAGGATAACACAAGACCACATGTTTCTTTGATGACTAGGCAAAAACTGTTATAGCTTGGCTGGGAGGTTCTAATTCATCTGCCGTATTTACCAGACATTGCACCTTCAGATTTCCATTTATTTAGGTCTTTACAAAATGCTCTTAATGGAAAAAATTTCAATTCCCCAGAAGACGGTCAAAGGCACTTGGAAGAGTAATTTAATCCAAAAGGTAAAAATTTTGGGAAGATGGAATTATGAAGTTGCCTGAAAAATGGCAGAAGGTAGTGGAACAAAAGGGTGAATACGTTGTTCAGTAAAGTTCTTGAAGAAAATGAAACGTGTCTTTTATTTTTACTTAAAAACCGAAGGCACTTTTTGGCCAACTCAATACCAAGAGCAGAGAGAAAACCATACCCAGGTTTTTTGGCCACTACTCAAAATTGCCAGGAGTCTTTAGTTCTTTGAGGCTACTGACTCCTTTATTCCTAAAGTCTCCTCACTTTTTCTCCATTTTTGTTTTGATTTCAAGTAATATTGTACTAATAACAAATCAAGTGAAGAAAGTAAAGGGATCTGCAAGTAGTATAGCAATTTTATAATGCACAGTCTTTGCTAATTCCATTTGTTTTACATTTTGATATTTTATTGTAGCATTGTATTCCAGAAGGTATATGGAATATATTTAAGATGAAGACACCTGACTTAAGAAAACAGAAATATTGAACTCATAATCTTTTTAATATTGTTAATTAACTTAAATGGGTATTATTCAACATTTTTAATATTCTAACAAATTCAGTCTTTGAAAATCTGCTTTGATGTATTGATTTCTCCTCTCTTAGGAAGTATTTAAAGAAAGAATTGGTTATACACATATGTTTGAAGTATTAAAATCACTGGGTCAGCCACCACTGGAACTACTTAAAGAACTTATGAATATGGTGAGTTTTTTTTAGCTTTATTAGAAGAAGTTCCATTATCTTTGTATCAAAGATGGTAACTAACCTTTTGTCTCTTATGTTGCTTTACAGGCTGTAGAGGGTGATCACACTTCAGTTGGAATTTTGGGCATTAGTAATGTCCAGCCTCTCTTGCTTCTTATCCAGTGGCTTCCAGAGCTAGAATCCCATGACCTGCAAATCTTCATCTCTGATTGGCTGAAAAGAATTTGTTGTATTAATAGGCAGAGTCGAACTACTTGTGTCAATGCAAACATGGGAATTAGAATCATTGAAACCCTTAATTCCCATTCTTCCCTCCATCGAACTTGTGCTGAGAACTTGATTGCACTCCATGGTTCATTGGGGAGTCAGTCAGTGAGCTCAGAAGAAATCCGTCAACTACTAAGATTGTTGAGAGTGGATGAATCCGAGTACATTCACCCCTATACCACTCTTGTAACTCGAGCAATCCTGACAATGGCCCGAAAACAAAGTCTAGAGAGTGCACTGCAGTATTTTAATTTGTCACATAGTATGGCAGGAATTTCTGTGCCTTCCATACAGAAATGGCCAGGGTCTGCCTTTTCTTTCAATGCTTGGTTTTGCTTAGATCAGGATCAGTTGACTCTTGGCAATGCTAACAAAGGAGGAAAAAGAAAACAATTATACAGGTACTGGTACAAGTTATGGAATATAAATGAATGCTGTCATAATACATGCTGTGATTCTTAAACAGGAAAACGTTTTTCTAAGCATCAATTTTTTTATTCCTCGAATACCGTTTTTTTAAAAAACTTTTATTTTTATTTATTTATTTATTTATTTTGCGGTAGTGGGCCTCTCACTCTTGTGCCCTCTCCTGTTGTGGAGCACAGGCACTGGATGCGCAGGCTTAGCAGCCATGGCTCATGGGCCCAGCTGCTCCGTGGCATGTGGGATCTTCCCGGACCGGGGCACGAACCCGTGTCCCCTGCATCGGCAGGCGGACTCTCAACCACTCACTGCACCACCAGGGAAGCCCCTATTTTATTTATTTATTTATTTATTTATTTATGGCTGCATTGGGTCTTCGTTGCTGCACGCGGGCTTTCTCTAGTTGCAGCAAGTGGGGGCTACTCTTCATTGTGGTGCACGGGCTTCTCATTGCAGTGGCTTCTCTTGTTGCAGAGCATGGGCTCTAGGCATGCAGGCTTCAGTATTTGTGGCACGCGGACTCAGTAGTTGTGGCTCGCGGGCTCTAGAGCTCAGGCTTAGTAGTTGCGGTACACGGGCTTAGTTGCTCTGCGGCATGTGGGATTTTCCCATACCAGGATTCAAACCTGTGTCCCCTGCATTGGCAGGCGGATTCTTAACCACTGCGCCACCAGGGAAGTCCTAAGCATCTACTTTTTAAATGTACAACAATTTATCTGAAGCCTCTCCTCCTTAGGGTGTACACAGTTTAATTATAAGTGCTTTGTTGCTTTCATAATAATAGTTGTATATCTCAAATATTTTGCTAGTTAAGTTTCGAAACTAATTTGGAAACAAAGTTCCTTCTTAAAATTATTGTAAAAGTGGAGGAAAAAGGGATAGTAAACTTGAAAATGAATGGTGATTTCTCTGTTCTATTGAGGATGCTACTATATATTTATATGAAGGACCAGAAAAACCTATGTGTTTCCAAACTTAGTTACTTCAGTAACTAATACATTTTAATATGCCTTGTGATTTTTTAAGACTTTATTCATTCTTTCTGAATCTTATTTGGAAGAATTTTGAAGATTTGAAAGTTTATAATTTTGCTAGAGTTTGCTAATGGCATTCTGTGTATAAGGCTACCTTTTATAATTTACTAAACTGCTATGCCCAAAAAAGATTTAAAAATCAACTTTGAGGCAAGGTGGGTTTGATGGTGTGTGGCAATAGAATGTAAGCCACAGTGTGTTTTGTAAAGATATTCATGGTGAAGTTATGGTTTTGTGTGCCGCAGTGATGATGAAACTGTACAACTGACTTCAAAAGTTCTGATAATACATACTTTTGTTAGCTTTTTTACAGGAAGTGGCATGGGTTTTGAAGCTTTTATTACCCATTCAGGTATGTTGGTTGTGGCAGTGTGCACGAAAAGAGAATATGCAACAGTTATGCTTCCTGACCACAGTTTCTGTGATTCCCTCTGGGTAAGGCTTTAGGGCATCACATCTGACTTCTGGGTTCTTTCCTTTTAAAAAACACGTTTGGTGTGTGTACATCAGGTGTTAATCATCTGCTTGTTGAGAGTTGATTAATTTTATGTTAAAGTTCTATTCGTGTTGAAGTTTACCTATAAAGGAGTTAATACCATTTATCATAATCTCAGCGGTAATCATTTTTCTGCTAAAAAAATTAAATTGAAATGTTATATTTCTTTCAAGTTTTCTAGAATCAAATTTGATTTTGAATTTCAATTTAAAATGAGAGCAGAAATTGTTAAATGAAAAATAATGCATTTCTGTTGCTTTTCTTAAAAAATAAAATGCTTCTCATTAGAAACATTAATTCTAAAGAACACTCATAGACTTGGAAAATGCAGAAAAGGTACTATGTTACAATTGTGTGTAGATTTTCTAGAATAGTCAGAAGCTCTTTTATAGTACTACAGGCAAAATTGTTACTTTAACAGCATCATTTTAATCAGCGTTTAATTATGCTTAAACTTACTGTTCTACCTTTCACACAAACTAGTTATATAGTAATACTCTGAAAACATTTGTTATTGCAAAGACTTAATGTAATTTTTACTTTTTAAATATATGTTTTACTTTACCAGCACAACATAACCATTGTTCACATGCCTGGAAAAAGGCCCTTTGGTCAGAGCCTTGTATATATCTATGACAATGGACAGCAGAAGGTCTCTGCCCCTCTGAGATTTCCTGCCACGAATGAAGTAAGCACATCTAACCTACTCTTTTTTTTTTTAATAAATATTTATTTTATTATTTATTTATTTTCCTTTTTTTGCTAGGGGGTCGTGTCGGGTCTTAGTTGCAGCCCATGGGATCTTCGTTGAGGCATACAGGATCTTTCCTTAGGCACGCGTATTCTCTCTAGTTGTGGTGTGTGGGTTTTCTCTCTCTAGTTGTGGAGCGCGCGGGCGACAGGGCACGTGGGCTCCAGGGCGTGTGGGCTCTATAGCTTGCAACACTTGGGCTCTCTCATTGAGGCGCACGGGCTTAGCTGCGCCATGGCTTGTGGGATCTCAGTTCCCTGAGCAGGGATTGAACCCGCATCCCCTGCATTGTAGGGTGGATTCTTTACTACTGGACCACCAGGGAAGTCCCTAACCTACTCTTTATGGGACCAGTTGATTGCAAACTTTTGAAAATTTTTTCAGTTTAATGTATAAGCTTCTGTTTATTCTAAATATGTGCCTGTAAGTCTTAGTGTTTTCTGCATACTAAGCTATAGTAAGTTAATATTTAATTCTGTTAGCCTGTCATCATTAGATGAAGTCAGACAACATATAATTAAAAAAAACAATTCAAGGAAGAAACAAATGTAATTAAAGTCTTAGAAAAACAGACTCATAACAGGAAAGCCAAAGAAATTGAATAGAGCGGGACAAAGGATCATTTAATAAAGCTCTCCAGGTATACCAGATATTTAGATGCACTCTTTTCCATCATCGAATTTTTCGTTGATTTTAAAACAGTAATGAAGAAACCTTAAATATTTACATTGTAGTTAGGGATAAGATAGAATTTATTTACTGAGGTGATTCTTAAGCAACATTAGTGTGAAAGTTCTTTGAGAATTTTTGGACATTTTTGAAAGGGCCTTTTCTGAAGATAATGGAATGGATTTGATTATTTTCCAAGTCCTTCTAGGATTCCAGTAATTTCTTGTTGCTGTTCATGTCTATGATCACTTCAGGATAATCTATAATTAGCAGTATTATACTGATGTGTAATTTTCTGCTTATAAATTTTAAGGGAGAAAGGTGGTTTTTCTCTACTTTAGAATATAGTGAGGTAAAAAAGCTTTTACTAAATACTCATTAAAATTAAGCGAGTAAATTAAACTCATTAAAATTAAATGAGTAAAATTAAATGAGTAAATTAAATTTAGTAAATGAGTATTTACTAAATACTCATTAAAATTAAAATTTAATTACCCATTAAAAATTCAGACTTTACAGAAGGATGTAAAGTGAGTTATAAAAGTAATGCATCCAAACCCCATAGGCCAAATGTAACATCTGTAATGATATCTTATGTATACACACACATGCACACAGCATGATCCACTAAAAACAAAACTTTGTTTTTCAGTGTATTGCTTAATTTTATGTACTGTTTTATTTTAAATATGAGGATAGAGATTTAATTAAAATGTGTAATTTATTATATTTGTTTGTTTCTTACTTTTAGCCTTTTATTTCTTGCTGCATTGGTTCAGCTGGGCAAAGAACCACCACTCCTCCACCATCCCAAATCCCAGATCCACCTTTTTTTTCTCCCATTACCCCTCATCGAACATCATTTGGTGGAATTTTGTCATCAGCTTCCTGGGGAGGAACAATGGAAAAATCAAAGTTGATTACCAAATTGATATCAGCTGGAACACAAGACAGTGAATGGGGGTGTCCCACATCTCTGGAGGGTCAGCTGGGGTCTGTTATCATCTTCTATGAAGCACTGCAGCCTCTTCAGGTGAAGGCGTTATATTTAGCAGGTGAGCATGTACCATCACACTGCCTAATTAAACTGAAATAGTTTTTTCTGTTGCCTAAATATATTCTGAAGAATATATTTGATGTAAAGAATGTACAGTTGGCCATTGAACAACTCTAGGGTTAGGGGTGCCAACCCTTCATGAAGTCAAAAATCCACATATAACTTATGTCGGCCCTCCATATATATGCAGTTCCTTTGTATGCATGGTTCTGCATCTGCGGATTGTGGTACTGTCTATTTACTATTGAAAACAATCCACATATGAGTGGACCCACACAGTTCACCTCATGTTGTTCAAGGGTCAACTATATTTGTTTTAACTGGAACTGAAAGGGAAGAAAAAGCCCACCACACATCGTACTTTTACTCCCCTTAGCTTTATTGAGATATTGACATTATAACATATATAAGTTTAAGGTATGCAATGTGCTGATTTGATACACGCATACCCTGCAAAATGATTACTGTAATAAAGTTGGTTAACACCTCCATACCCCCACATAATTACCATTTTTTAACGTGTGTGTTGATAACATTTAAGGTTTGCTCTCTTCACAACTTTCAAGTACATTATACATTATAATTAATTATAGTATACTACACATTTTTTGATATGCATAAAAAGACAAAACTTTGAGAAATATTTCAAATATCATCCATAATACTGCCTGTGTTAGTCTATTAGGACTGCTATAAGAAAATACCACAGACCAGATAGCTTAAACACTATTTTCTCAGAATTCTGGAAGCTAGAATTCCAAGATCAAGTTTCCATCAGCCTTGGTCTCTAGTGAATCCTCTATTCCTGGCTTGTAGATGGCTGCCTTCTTGCTCTGTCCTCACATGGAATATGTTCTCTGTGTGTATGTGCAGAGAGAGATCTCTGCTGTCTTTTCCTCTTCTTAAAAGGGGCCCTATTGAATTAGGGCCCGACTTTTATGACATCATTTAGCCTTAATTACCCCTTACAGGCCCTATCTCCAAATACAGTCACACTGGGGGTTTGAGCTTCAACATAGGAATTTTGAGTGGGCGGGTACACAATTCAATCTATAATACTGCCGGTGCTTTTGACAGATTTTAATACATTGATGAAACAAAGTGTAAGTTTGTCTTCATAAGAAATCACACAGCTGATTCTGGAGTCATATGAGTCTTATTCAAAACTTGTCATTTTTATAATTTATATAGTAATATATCTGAAGAATTCATGAAGGCATTAGAATTAGGAGCTCTTGGATAAAATTACAAGTTTTTGTTTTGGCTTTTACTTTTTCATTTGGCTCTGATTTTATTTTTAGTTTTTGGTTTTTTGTTGTTGTTGTTGTTGTTTGCGGTACGCGGGCCTCTCGCTGTTGTGGCCTCTCCCGTTGCGGAGCACAGGCTCCAGACGTGCAGGCTCAGCGGCCATGGCTCACGGGCCCAGC